ATGCAGGAGCTGGATGCAGCTTCAGTGTGGAGGCCCCTGAGGACCTCTGGGGGCACAGGTGGTGGGGCCGCCGCTGCCTGAGGATCCATGTTCGCCTGGGGGCATAGACCACTTTGACATGACCTGGACTTGGGGCCTGCGGGGCCTGAGGCTCCCCGAGAGCCACCTTGGACCCGAGTTAGAAAACACAGGGAGATGGTGCCTGCAACACACCAGCTGGGGCAGAGACGCAGCCCATCTGCTCAGAGGACACCCTGCTGCAGGCTGTGCAGGTCAGGGGACTGAAATGCGCATGGACGCCCCGCCCCACTGGCAGCTGCCTGGGACTGGGGCAGGCTCATGGCTCTGATCCGGCCTCGCCATTAAACCCAGGATAGCGATGCCGATGCGGAACCGCCAGCTCTGCAGACCAGCCCTGAGCACTCCCCACAGGCCAGGCTCACTGGACCCACTCTCTGAGCCACTGCCGTCTGCTCCACGCCCAGAGCAAGCTCCCACCCCACCTTCACAGCCTGCAAAGGCACACACAGAGGCGCAGGGCTTCTGGCCCACGACAGTGAGCGGGGCCGCAGCATGGATGCGGGGGCAGCCCCAGCCCTCCAACAAGCTTCTCAGCCTCCTGGGCTGCGGCCTCCTTGCCTGGGAGGCAGGATTGGCAGCAGCAGCTGCAGTGGCGTCCTGAGCTGCTCCAGGCACCTTACCACTCAGGACGTCCAATCACATTCGCCCTTCGCACTAACACGGCACTCGGAGACCACCTGGGAACGTAACCATGGTGGTCACGGCAGTCTCGTCATCTTGGTGCACTCGACGGCCAGCCCCCAAGTAGACGTGGCCCCTGCTGCAAGCATGCTGCCAGAGCATAAAGACACGCATGTGGCCGTCCTCAGAGTGGGGACGAGATGTCACACTATGTGGTCGCCCTCGTGCTCCCTGGGCAGCCAGCTCAGCGATTCCGAGAGGGCAGGGCTGCCAGCCAGCCTTGCAGAGCTCCGGTACAGCTGCCCGGCACACGCCCGGAACCGGCCACATTGGCAGGTTTGGGATGAGCAAACCTGTCCTTGTCGTCCTGGGCACTGACCCCAGGAGAGCAGACCCTGCCTCGAGTGTGATGGGCCAGCCTGAGATAATGCGTGTGACCGTGCAGACGGTCACCTCGGCCAGCGTGGCAGTCCCTCCGGAAGGTCGTGCATTCGTTCCGTGCCAGTCACTGAAGGGGTACGAGAGCTGCCACTCCCAGCTCCTCTCTGAACCCGTGCGTGTGCGTCCTGCTCTGAGGACCCAAGGGCACCATGCCACAGAGGGCGGCGGCCAGGAAGGGGCCGAGCTCTCGATGAGCCCCTGCCATTGGGCGGCCCGAGTCTGGCTGAGAAAGGCAAGAGGGGACGGAGCACAGAGACACGGGCACTGTCCCTCTGAGTGACCAGTGACTGGGAGAGGGCCCAGCCCCACTGGCATCTGAAAGTTCCTCACGTGGGTCCCAGACACGAGGCAGAAGCACTTCCTGAGGGCGTTTGTCCCTAAATAGCAAGGGACACGTCCGCGTTTTTCTGCCTCGTCAGTTCCCAGAAGCTGAGCCCCAGCAAGGGGGCCCTGGCTGCTGTTCTGAGGAATATTCTGGAAGCTGCCTAGGTCTGAAGGGCGTGTCTGTGTAGGTGTGGGGTCAATGAAGGGTGTCCCCCTGGAAGCCGCCCTGGACCCTGAGGGGTGGCTCTGGCCCACAGGCTGTCCGCAGCCTCTGGGCAGCCCTGAGAGCACAGGGCCGAGCAGCCATCCCATCCCTAGGCTTCCAGCAACAGCTGCCCAGGAGGAGGGCCGCCTGGGAGGAGGGCCGTGGCACAGGGTGGGGTGGGCAGGGGCAGCCCTGGAGCCCTGGGCGTGGAGAATCGAGGAGCCAGGGTAGGGTGAATGTGTGGTATCTCGTGCACACATGTCTATGTCTGAGTGTGGCATGTGCTGGGTCACTGTCAAGGCCAACAGCTGCCCAGGAAGTCCCGTGCCACTGGACCTGCAGCCCGAGGCCCCCTCCTGGAACCCTCTCAGTCACCCCAACAACTGGACCCCTGCCCAGGTCACGCCAAGGGGCACTTGGGGCGTCTTATATCTCTATGGGGAGTGCCTGTCCCCAAGCGGTCCCAAAGTACCCACAGCGTCAGGACAAAGGTCCCTGGACACCGCTGGGACCACAGGCCTTTGAAAGGGGCTGTTGGCATCCCATCAGGGCATGGAGACGTGGGAGGGAGGAAGGGGCAGGCCCGGCCCACTCCCAGGTGCCCTGAGCCAGCGGTGCAGGGCTCCGAGGGCCTGGCCTGGGCTCCTAGGGCCAGGCCGGATGTTTTCCTGTGGGTCGGGGATCAGAGGGCGTGGCAGGCCTGGTGGGCCCAAGACTGCGGAAGCAGAGGGCGATTACTGAGATGGTATCAGGCCCGGAACCTGCCGGCCTGGCAGGGTTCAGTAAGGCAGCCAGGCGGGCTAAGCTGGGGAAGGACTTGTCCTATCCTCCCTGAATTAGCAGAGGACAGGGAAGCCAGCCAGGGAGAGGAGGCTGCCAGAATGCCAGGAAGGGAGAGTAACAGCTGAGGGGAGCGAGATAAGGAGAGGCGCCCGCAGGGGAGGACTCTGATTAGAGGCTGGAGGCCAGTTGTGGCCCAGCAGGAGACGGGCCAGGAATGTGGGGGCGGTGCCCACAGGAAATACAGGGGTGACCTTCAGCACACCCAGTTGCAGGTTGCACAGGCAGGTGTGTGGCCTCCAGTGTGGGGAGGGACGTTGTGTTTACGGGTCCACCACAGAAGGGGCTGGACCGGTGGTCAGGTGAGTCCCCTCACGTGAAAGGAAGAAACCCCCATCTGGGGCTAGGCAGGAAGTGCCTGGGGTGCTTGGGCCCAGGACGGTTCTGGCCTCTCTGTCCCCAGGACCCCCAGAAATGGGGGGCAGCTCCTGCCTCCACCTGCCCTGCAAGGACCCTCGCAGACAGGCCAAGCTGAGCTGAGCTTGGCTCCTGTGAGGCCCCTGGCAGGGAGGGGTGGGTGGGCAAGGCCACAGTCCCACGGTGCCGCAGCAAGTCTGCCACGCTGTCCACAAACAGCCTTTTCATTATACCAGTGCAGACCGCAGGCCCCGGAAGCCACGAGAAGGTCCCAGGTGCAGGGAGAATCACGCGACCTCTTAAAGAGCACCCCTCAGTACTCTGGAGCGGGGAGACTCACCGAGTATTCCCTTGCAGGGCCTCTTTCCAGCTTGTGCTTGGAGGGTCTGGGGTGTGAGGACGCTTGGCCTGCCAGGCAGGTGGGGCTGAGCCAGGATCTCCCGCATGGCATCACAGGCCTCCCAGGAAACAGCAGGGAGAGGGGGCCAGCAGCCATAGCCAGAGAGGAGGCCGGGAGGTGCCAGCGGGCAGGTGTGGGGCCCAGCTAAATGAGGCCTGACAGCTGTGCGGGAGATGGAGAGCTGAGTGGTCCAGCGAGAAGCCGGATGCAGAGGAGAGTGTCATTTTATTGTTTGGGCACGGGGTTTGGGAAGAGAGTGAAATTCTGGAAAATCAGAGATGCACTGGCGTGTAAAGAGGGCACCAGGGGCAGGCTCTGCTTACGTAACTGCAGGGGAGGGGTGCCGGACGGGGGCCGGTTCCCCCTTCATAACGAAGTGATGATTCCAGGGAAGAGCTGGCACAGGCAGGGCAGCTGCTGGGGGCAGCACAGCATGTCCCGGCAGCGTCAAGGCCAGTGGCCCAGCCCAGGGGCCCGAGGGCAGGCAAGAGGCCACTCAGGCTTGAGGTCCCGACAGGCACGTGATGCAGTGCTGCTGGGCCCCCGGGCTGGCCTTGTGTGCCCACATCATGCCAGAGGGCTCTCCGGGAAAGCAGCGGCTGAGCCAGGGCACAGCCACATGGCCCGGGATGGCCAGGGTGGGCGGGACCTGCAGACCCCTCTGTCAGGGGCCCGAGTGGCCACCCACCAGGACTGATCGCACATGCAGGAGGCCAGCAGGGACCCCGGGCCGCCCCACGAGAACAGAGCCTGAGCTGCTGCTGGCACTGAGGGTGCCGCGCTGCCCGGGCACGAGAGCACTGCCAGGGGTGGATGGCGTGAGGGCTGGTGAGAAAGCGCAGGACAGCTAGGGCAACCTAAGTGTGTGCTCACACAGGCCTGGGGGGCGGCCGGACCTTCCTGCCTTGTCGATACTCATGCCATCCGCAGGGAGTACTGACAGGGAAATCCCAGCACAGCCAGATACTTGGCTGTGAAATGAACTGACTGCAGCAGCGGTGACACGGGGACAGGCCGCGCACTGCCACTCCCCCTTGCCAAAGTCACCTGTGGTCACCACAGGGCACCTTGGCTCTTCCTCGGGACCATGGCCAGACCGCCTACCTACCCAGCTCCTGCAGGGTCTGCAGTCCAGCTTGGGCTGCGGCTGTAGCTGGCCAGGCCCCAGCTGCCCAAGGACAGTGCTCACGGGCACTTGCTAACACAGTGCTAACAGCCACCACCGCCTGAAGGCACCTTGGAAGGCCTCCCTACCCCAGCTGCTGTTCCTGTAAGCGCCTGCTGTCACGAGGAAGTCTGGCCCTCAGATCTTTCGATTCCTCTTTCCGGAGAACCATGCATCCCTCCTGACCAGGCTGGGAGCGGCTGGGGGGCCGCTGTCCAGTGCAGTAGCCGGTGGGCTTCGCCAGAACTTCCTTTGTTCTCACAACTGACCCCAATTTCATGGGGGGGGCAGGAATGGGGCGACTGAACATGCTCTTTAAAGCTGTCGGGGGTGGGGGTGGCCTGCAGGCAGAAGCCAGAGTCCCCACTTAGCCCGTGCTTCCTCCTGACCAGGGAAGGGGAGTCCCTGGAGCCCCAGTGGGAGCTGGGCACACAGGTGAGGCCTCTGTAACCCTGACCACAATGGTCTCGCTCTGGAGGCGCTCTGGCTCCCAGAGCCTCTGGAAGGCATGCCCAGGTCCAGTCAGAGGCCAGGACAGGGTGGGCCCAGGTCAGCCGAGTGCTCACCGTCTCGGGGTCGTTCTCGAACACCTCGCGGGCCTCCTCGCGGTTGCACAGCTCCTCCACGCACTCCCTCTCCAGGTGGCCTTGCTTCGCCTCCTCGAAGACCTGGTAGGCTCTGCGCTGCCTGGGCCGCAGGAACTGCGCCGCCTCGCGCGCCCGCAGCAGCACAGCTGCCGGGAGAAGAGCCCCGGAGAAGGAGCCTGTCAGCCGCAGCCTGCAGCCGGCAGCCCACGGCCCCGCGTCGCCACCCCCGCCGCACGCCCTGGCCCTGTGCCCAAGCCCTGCACTACGCGCCCTGGCCCCAAACCCTGCGCTCCCGCACCCAGCGCCCCTGCTCCAAACCCCGCGCTCTGCACCCAGGCCCTGCACCCAGCGCTCCAGCTCCAACCCCCGCGCCCTGCACCCAGGCCCTGCACCCAGGCCCTGCACCCAGGCCCTGCATCCCGCACCCAGGCCCTGCACCCCGCGCCCCAGCTCCAACCCCCGCGCCCTGCACCCAGGCCCTGCAACCCGCGCCCTGC